TGTGGTTTTGGCGCCTATCCTGGCACTCACTCTGGAGACCATGCTGGCCTCAACCTCACAGAGATCCTCCTGCCTCTGCCTCCCGAGTGCTGGGATTCCTGGCGTGTGCCAACAACGCCCGGCTTAGAACTCAGGTCTTCAGACTGACCAGCAAGTAACTACCCAATGATCCATCTCATTGGTCCATGACATACACTTCTTTTTCTCCCTCCCTCCTTCCCTCCGTTCCTTCCTTCCTTCCTTCCTTCCTTCCTTCCTTCCTTCCATCCTTCCTTCCTTTCTTTTTTGTTTCTCGAGACAGGGTTTCTCTGTGGCTTTGGAGGCTGTTCTGGAACTAGCTCTTGTAGACCAGGTTGATCTCGAACTCACAGAGATCCAATTGCCTCTGCCTCCCAAGTGCTGGGATTAAAGGTATGAGCCACCACTGCCCGGGCTTTTTTTGACTTACACTTAATAAGTACTGTAGTCTAGGCATTTTGTGTTCTGATGTTGAATTGAAATGCTGTCCTTGCTAGAAGTGACTAATCCCATTTGAGCTATCTCCTAAGTCTGTGGGAACCCCAAGGCTACTGGCTATGGTCATCGTCTTAGACCCTATGTTTCTGACCACAATGCCCACCACCAGGTTCTTTGAAGATAATGGAATAAAAAAATTTCTTAAACAAGATAAAGAATCAAAATCCCTAACTGCAAACAATGATGGTGACATCAATGTCATTTCCACTTCCTGTCCTGGCTGGCACCAGTAATTGGCCTGTAACAGTAAGATTGAGTTCTGGGTCAGTTTGAGTTCAAACTTGGACTGAAGTGTAGCCATGGTGATCCCCTGAGATGCTAGATAGTCATCTCAAAAATGAAAAAGCTTTTTTCATTTTCCTTCAAGTTTGCTTGTTTTGTTAGGAAAGCCTATTTTGAAAGGAGACTTCAAAGAACATACTTTAGGTCAGGCAGAGCACTTAATACCTGAGAGAGGCTGGGCTGCCTTCTGGCTGCCGTTGTCTTAAGTGCTCCCCCCACCTATTCTACAGTTTTAGGGAGGGAAAGACCTAAGGTGAACTGAGAACTGGTGAAACCCTTACCCTGGGTCCTTACTGTGACGGCACTTTGGTCCCTTGTTCATCTCCTCTCTCTTCAGAAACCAGAAGCAGATTTGTCCTAAAGGAGACCTTGTTCCCACATGGCATTGGCTGATAATACCCCAAGTCCTAGTTTCTCTCTCATGTTCTATTGAATAGGAGGTTTGGGCAGTGGTTACATAATTAGGGATAAAAGAGTGGGTAGGGATGAACCAATTTCCATTATAATTTTGATTAAAAAATTTAAATGTTTATGCATGTGCCTGTGCGTGTGCGTGCACGTGTGCGTGTGCGTGTGCGTGTGCGTGTGTGTGTGTGTGTGTGTGTGTGTGTGTGTGTGTGTGTGTGTGTACACATGTGTGCTTGAGCATGCATGACACAAGCATGTAGAAGACAATATGTGGGAGTTGGTTCTCTGTGTCTATTGTGTGAGTCCTAGAGATCAAACTCAGGTCATCAGACTCAACAGCAAGTGCCTTTACCCCACTAAGCAATCTTGACACACCTACTCTTAGTTTTTAAAATGGAGATACATTTATTGTTTTTCTAATATGGAAGTAGTATTTGCTAATTTGTCAAAAACCAAAGAAGCAAAGAAAAATGTAAATAGAATTCAACCATCCCAAAGAAATAATCATTAACACTTCAGTGTACATTTTACACATTAAACCACTTATACTTAAATGTAGTCACGTTAAATGTAGTTTTGTTCCCAGGATTAATACTTTAAAATGTTTGACGAAGCTAGGCAGTGGTGGCACATGCTTTTAATCCCATCACTTAAGGTCGGAAGAGGCAGGTGGATCTCTGCGTTTGAGGCCAGCCTGATCTATAGAGTGAGTTCCAGGACAGCCAGTGCTACACAGAGAAACTGCCTCAAAAAACAAAACAAAACAAAAAACAAAACAACCCCCCAAGCAAACAAACAAAAACACAAAACAAACCCCAAAAAACAAAAAATAAAGCAACTCCTCCCAAGCCCCTAAAACTTCAATGAGTATGACTGTCAGAATATAGCAGGTTATGATTGATAACAAAGAATTCCATATATGAATGTCTTAAGTAACACATATTTCATCCTTGCTTATATATTCTTGTGGGCTGGCAGTAGAACAGGTATGCACATGTGGTCATTTGTGAACTTGGGAGAACTGCATCCACACCTAACATGACTAATTACTCTACCAGAGGGAGCAGGCATCTCTGAAATATTAGATATCTATAATTAATACTTGGCTCAGAAGTGGTAAATGTTGCTTATATCCAAAATATTTTGGCCAGAACTTGTCCTAAGGCCCCATCTGTCCACAGTGGGTGATCTTTCTGGCAGAGAGCAGCTAGAAACTTATATAATAAACAATGTTGAAGTCCAGCAATATATCTGCTGGTCAATAAATACAGTTTTACTTTGTTATTCTCAATATTTATTTATCATCATTATGGGGGCACATGTGTGTGTGCCTGTGTGTGTGGGGGGCTGTATGTGTGCATGTTTGTGCTGAGGTATGTATGTAGGTTTGTGTGTGGGGGCAGTATGTGTGCAGTTTATGTGTGAGTGTATGTGTTCTTGTGTGCATGTGGAAGTCAGAGGTCAACCTAGGGTGGCTTTTTTTTTTTTTTTTTCCAGAAGATGTCCATCTGTCTTGGAGTTTCGGACAGGGTCTTTCACTGGAACCTGGAATTCTTAAGGCTGTGCTGGCTGGCCAATGAGCTCTGGGATCCTACTATCTCTGCCTCCTCATGCCCAGTGAACCCTGGGATCCTCCCATCTTTGTCTCCTGATGGCCAATGAGCCCCTGGATCCTCTCGTCTATCTCCCCACAGCCAGTAAGCCCAAGATTCCCCTGTCTGGGTTTCCCCAGTACCAGGATCACAAGGAAGCCATCACTCCTGGGTTTATGTAGGTTCTGGGGTCAAGATCAGGTCCTTGGGCTTGTGAGGCAAACACTTTGCCAACAGCCACCTCTCTGGTTCCCAAGTTATCATGGTATATTTATTTTTTTCTTTTTCTTTTTTTATTTAAATTAGAAACAAGTTTCTTTTACATGTCAATCTTAGTTCCCTCTCCCTCCCTTCCTCTCCTGCCCCCTCCCACCAACCCCCTATCCCAATCCTTTTCTGTTCCCCAGGGAGAGTGAGGCCTTCCATATGGGATCTTCAAAGTCTGTCATATCATTTGGAGCAGGGCCTAGACCCTCCCCAGTCTATCTAGGCTGAGAGAGTATCCCTCTATGTGGAGAGGGTTACCAAAGTTCATTTATATACTAGGGGTAAATACTGATCCACTACCAGTGTGTGTGTGTGTGTGTGTGTGTGTGTGTGTGTGTGTGTGTATGTAGGTGTCTCTCTGTGTGTGATGTATCTGTGTGTATTTCCATATATGTGTGTAGGGATAGTCCACATCAGGTTCCCTTCCACATCATTCTTTCTCTTATTTCCTGAGACAGAGTCTCTCACTGAATCTGGGGCTTGCTGCTTCTACTGACTGGCTAGCCAACAAGCTCCAGGAATCCTCTTGTGTCCTCCACTTCCTGGCAGTCCTGGGGCTCTCTATGTGTGCTGCTGCACTTGGCTTTCTATGTGGGTCCTTGGGATTGAACCCAAGGCCTCATGTTTGTACACAACCACTTTTCACACCAAGTCACCTCCCCAGGCTCCAGAGTTTCTTTTTAGAAAGTTAATAAAAACTGCTCTGATTGTGGTGATGGCTGCCCATGCCTTACAAAGAAAGATACTTTCACTTGTGCACAAAATGAGTGAATTTCATGGTATAAAATCACACCTCAAAAAACTATTTAAGCATGTGTAAAGTCAGTCTGGAGAGATGGCTCAGAAGTTAAGCGTGCTTCCTGTTCTCACAGAGGGGCAGAGCTCTGCTCTCCAGCTCTAGGGGAACCCAAAGCATCTGGCTACATACAGCACCATACACAGAAACACAGGCACATAATTAAAGACAAAATAGATTTTAAATGTGTAAAGCCTGGGCATAATTTTCAAGTGTCTGTTCTATATTTTCCAAAGGACAATTTGTTACTCTTAGCAATAAGCATTATGTTTCTATTATTTATACAGGTTTAGTGTGTTTGATACACAAAGAGAAGCTAGCATCATTAATGGACTGGCTTATTATTACTGTGACTTTAATCTTTATTTATTTATTTATTTATTTATTTATTTATGGTTTATTTATTTATATGTTTACAGGTGTTTTGCCTCTCTGTAAGTGTATAACATTTCTATGCCTGGCACTCATGAAAGCCAAAGAGGATGATGTATCTTCAAGAACTGTGGTTATAGACTGTTGTGAGTCACCATGTGGGTGCTGGGAATTGAACTTGGGTCCTTTGAAGAGCTATTTACTGTTGAGACATCTCTTCAGCCCAGCGGATTTTTTAAAGGAAATTTTTTATTATTTTGTTTCTGTACCTACCTCTTGTCTATGAGAAAATAGAAGAAATCTTATAGAAAAGAAATCTTCAAGGAAATCCAGGGTAACTTCAGTGTTGCATCTAGATTTCCTAGAGTTTGCATTGAATAGGAACACACCAGAAGAAGTCAAAAGTCTGTGTTACAATGATGTAATGGATGCAATAACAAGGAATTTAATGTCAAGCCAAAGACTGAGTGAGGCAGAATGCAAGCATTCCGTGGGTATCTCTGTTCTTGTCACTGTTGCAGATGTAGGCACACCCAGATGATGAGGAAGTTTGGCCTCATGGATTCTGAGTCAAGCAGGGCTAAGAATGATAGATTCTATTTCCAGCCTAGAAAAACACTCTCAAAAAAACAAAAACAAAAAACAAACCAGAACTACTTTTCAAACTAGATATCCTTAGTGGTGAATTTGAATGGGTTTTAACAACTTCACATGACTCATTCATGAATACCTCCCAGTTCTATTTCATATTTCTTTTCTCTTTCCAGGTCGCACTCAGGGTGCCCAGACAACTCAGGCTGCTGCAAAGGCTGGTATGTATATCCACAGATATCACATTCAATTTCTTCATCCTTCTGCTTCCTTTTAACCAGGAACTAGATGCAGGTTCCCCAAAGCTCCTGGTCCTCCTTAGAGACGAAGCCTAGCATGAAACAGTGTAGCTGACTCCTTTAGAAGTTTTCTCAAAGGGGATATTTCTTTCTTAAAGGAGGGACTAGAGAGATGGCTCAATGGGTAAAGTGCTTGTTGCACAAGCATGGGGACCTGAGTTCAAATCCCCAGCACCTATGTAAACAGCCTAATGTGACTGCATGCGGGCCTGTTACACTGGTGCTGTGCGAGGTGGAGACAGGAGGATCACTAGAGCTGGGGGCTGTCAGTCTACTTCCAGTTCAGTGAGAGACACTGCTGCAATGGAATGAGAGGGAATGATACAGTAGAATTCCTGAGGGCTTCCTCTGGCCTTTGCCTGTGTGCTCATGAGTGCAACCCCCTTACCCCCAACATACAAAGACAACTTATGGAGCTTCAAGTATCTGTGTTAAGAACGGAAAATCTAAATATAGTCTATGTATTTGTTTGTTTTTATAATATCTTTATTCAGGAAATAAGGCTTTTGCTTGGAAGTGAGCAGTATTTGTAGATTAAAGCATTGTGTGGTGAGGGTTGGATGGGCTCTCCATACATCACAGAGCCTGTGAACACATTCCCTGACTATGAAAAAATTTTGACATCTGGAAATAGATTGTTGGTCATCTGGAGTAGCTAATCTCTGAAATGCTTTTATTTTGGCTCTGCTCTTTTAATCCCCATAATTGTGAATTCATCAAGGATCCTCACGCTACAGGCTACATCTGTCTTTAGAATTGGAAGATTCCTTCAGAAATTCACCATTGGTTTACTGATTTTTGTTTGTTTCTTTTTGGTGTAGTTGCTGTGTGAATGTTTTGGGTTCTGTCATTTCTTTTATAGCCTCTAAATTTTGTTATTGAGTAAAAAGACTTTTTTTTTTTGAGAAGGGGTCTCATGTGTCCCCGCCTGGCCTGAAACTCTCTCTGAAGTCCAGACTGCCCTTTGAATCCTGCTGCTCCAGCATCTACTTCCCAAATGCATGGAGGATTGCTGGCGTGTGCTGCCATGTCCAGCAGTTACAAAGATTTTCATGACCCTCTCATCTGCACAGTTCATAGATCTCTTCCATTTTCTTAGAAACCTCTTAAAATCTCCATGTCTTATTTTCTCATGCATTAGACATTTTGAGCATGAGTTCTATCCATGAAGGGTCTTTCCACGAGTAATGCATGTGCCATGTCTTCTACACCTCTATCACCAAGAGGATAAAACTCTAAATGTAGCTTCTGTAGTTTTTTACATGAGATTGCATGATCTGGCTTCTGCCTGTGCTTGGAGTCTCTAGCTGGCACTCACCAACTATGGATCTCAATATGTTCCAAATTATAATTAATGAATAGAAAGTAGACAGCTCAAAATGGTCCAGGTTTTAACTAATGAACAGAAAATGAGCAGCCACAGCTAGGAGTCTCCCACCATTGTCAGGACCACAGAGATATGTCTGGTTATATTTAGAACTAATTAGATTCTTCTTTTTATAGAAGTCCTTGGATGGACACACACAGACCATACCATACACCCCCCTACAGCACACCCCCCAAAAACCACCCCCCCACACACACTGCATTTTGAACATCAGGGGGATCTTTGTATCTGAGCTTCTACCATAAATAGCTTTCTTAAGTCAATTTACTGCTGTCATTTGCCCTCTGACATCAGGGGTCCTTCTTAGTAGCCCTTTGGTAGGAGGTATTCTCAAGTTTGTGCCGGGAATTATTTTATTCCAATGTGGTATGATACACAATCACTGAAATGATTGACACAAAGGAAGAACTTTGCACTCACATGTCCCTGGTAACAGGAGTTGTGCTCTGCATACAAAACCTCACATAGAAGCACCAGGGCTGGTCAGGAAGCAGTGGGTGGGGTGGACGGTGGAGCACAGCCCAGAGCATCTATTAGGATTTTCATGGGAAGGAATGAGTGAGCTGGTGGATGTGCCCAGTAAGCGTAGGATCGGATATTTGGAGTCATTTTGGCAGGCTCTGGGCTTTAACAACTGTCCCTCATTGCCCAGTACCTGGTTCTTGGTGATTTGGGGCAAAGAGAGAATTAGTTTAGTGTGTGTGAGTGTTTGATAGAGGAAGCGGTCAGGATTGTGGATAATAAAGACCATAATAAATGTGGTTTTCATATTAAAGGTGTACTAGTAGGGCAGTCACTGCTGCCTCTAGAGGGAGGGTAGGAGTCTCTCTAGGAACACAGCCAGGAATGCCAGAACACCAGGTCATGTCATCTGCAGGAAAATGGATGCAAGTGGAGAGAATCATACTAAGTGAACTAAGTCTGAGAAAGACAGATATTGCATGTTTTCTCTTGCTTGTGGGTTCTAGAGCTTATAGATACATAAAATCACTTATATACATAAGATGACATGAGTAGAAGTGAGGCTGGTTGAGGAATGAAGGGGACTGATGGGAGCTAGGTAAAGAGGAGGGTTGTGTGGCCCAGAGGGGAATATGCTCTAAGTGCATCTTTCTTTCATGAAAACGGCCTCATGTAACACTATAGATTATAGTCAGGACAGTTGGTGGATTGGTGCTGACCATCAGTCTCTCGTCGATGCTGTGTACACCTGTGTCCATCTCCCCATCCCCAACTCTAACCGACACAGTGTCATTTTCAGAAGATCACAGAATGGCTGTTTACCTCTGGATAGGAATAATTACACTTAGTGTTCCTATCTCTAAATGTTGGGAGGCATTGCTGTGAGTATTGCATGAATGTGAACAGGTGAATCGGAGCTGGTGTCATGTTCTGTCTGCAAATGGAGGAGGGAGTGACTTTCCCCAGGTGGTGAATACATATCTGAGGAAACTTCAGCAATGACAACTATACACTTTCCTAAAAGAGTAGAGGCCTTAAGGTTGAGTAAAGGTCAATGGACCTAGCATGCAGCCACCTGCTCCATTCCGGTCTTTTCTTCCATACAACAAGGGAGCATGAAATTAGCCATTTTCTGTACCTGCTCTCAGTGTGCCTCTCCTAGTGACTGTAAGTAGTGTAATGTTAGTCCAGGGGGCTGCAGAGATAGCACAGTGGTTTCCCAGAGAACCTGGGTTCAGCTCCCAGCAATATTTTTTGTTTTTAAAGAATAGAATAATTAGTCGGGGACCAAGCACCAAAGGGTTAATAATCTTCTAGGAAGAGGGGACTGAACTGGGCTCTGGCAACTGGGCAGTGTCCCAAACATTCCACAGTGACATTTCCAGATGGTGACTTGGGTAATTCATGACATCCTCTGGGTGGCTTGAAGTTAAATGACTCCCGTGAGTCATACCCGAACCTCTGGTCCCTCGGGCAGCTAATTAAGACACACCCTGCCTCAAACTACTTTTACATCTGGGTTGGTTTTGGAGGAAAAAAATAATGAAGAAATTACATTATGTCACAGGAAGATTTTTTTTTTGGCTTTGTATTTTCCAGTTGACATCTCCAAACAAAATAATTATTTATATATAAATACGCTGACCATGTTGAATTTTTAAGAACTATATTGGGAAAATATGAGACAACTCTTTTATAGTCTCCCATTTATGGCACCTTCTCATAGACTTCTGCCATGCAAAACTCTGTGTTTGCTTTCTGCTGGCAGGGCCTGACTAATTCGCCCACTTGTCACCTACTCCCCCACCTGCTTCTCACTGTGCCCTAATTTCCTAATTCTGGTGTAGTCACCACTCTTGGAATGGACATGGTTTATTTCATGCCTTTTGTGCCCCTTTTCTTTTATCTCCCCCGCCCCTTATTGGTGGTTTAACCCAGAAGTTCATGCATGCTAGGGAAACACTCTCATCACTGTACCACGTTCTCAGTCTAGAACATCCTTTTCATTCTCTTTCACCATCTACAATTTTGAAATGTTTTCTAAAAACCCTTTTTCACACTTTGCAGACATTACTGAAATATCTTTCTCCTATAGTTTTATTCCTTTTCCTGTTTGTTTGTGGGCCCTGAGTACTGAACCCAGGACCGCATGCATGTAAGCAGCTCTACCATTGAGGTGAACCCACAACCTTGTAGGTGGAATTTTCCTGTCCCACAGCCACTCTCAAATAACCATAGGACAGTCTAATCATTAATTATAAATGCTTGGTCAATAGTTCAGGCTTATTTCTAACTAGCACTTACATTTTAAGTTAACCCAGCTTCCTCACTTATGCTCTGCCATGTGGCAGTACCTTTATTAACATAGCATGTTCATCTCCTGCTCCCTCTGCATCTAGCTGGCAACTCCAGACTCCGCCCTTCTTCCTCCCAGCATTTTCCTAGTCTGGCTCCCCTGCCTAACCTTATTCTGTTCAGCTATTGCCAGTCAGCTTCTTTATTAAGCCAACCACAACTACACAGTGTAAAGAGATATTCCACAGCACAGCCATTTATCTTTCTTCTGAGCTCTGGAAATCTGACAGTCACGGTCCCTAAGGCATCTCCTCATTTTTGTCAGTATGTATCTCTCTACCTGCCCTCCTCAAATTACATGCACATCTCACTCCTATATCTTTGTACATTGTTTTGTATTTCCCCCTTGCTTCCAAATATAGTTTGCAAGCACCTTGAGATAAGTAGCCAGCTGGAATGGTTCTTCTCAAACCTTCATGAAATATAGCCTTAAGCACTGTAGAAGTGCTTAAGAGATATTAGCTTATTACATTTTATTTCTGATAGATATACACTTCTTTTTAATTGTTCACATATGGAAGTCAGGGGACAACTTGGAGGAGTTATTTCTCTTTTTCCAACATTTGAGTCCCAGGGATTGAACTTGGGCCATCAGACTTGGTGGCAAGTTCCTTTACCCACTAAGTTATCTCTCTACTCCTTATTTTCAGGTTTTATTTATTTACTTTTAAAGATATACTTTCACATGTGTGTGGGTGCTCTTGGTGCCAGAAGAGGG